AAAAATTCAAAAGATAAAGTGAAGTAATACAAAGGTATAATATATTTTTATTCCTTTCTTCTCCATTTGTTCTTTATTTGTTCTTTATACATTTCTATACATTTGCAAGAGTACAAGTCCTATATATACGAGGTCAATAGGAGATAAGAGTTATAAGGAATTAATACACATTAAATAGGAAGTTATAAGAATTAATCTCCTACTAATGAAGGAGTTCTCTTACTAATGAAAGGGTTACAAGGAATCCATTATCACTATTTAAATACATAGTATTATGGCGTGATTATGGTGTGTTAATCATTATTATAATCACATGGAGGTAGTAGAAGTTATATTATTATTTGATGTGTAAATGTAATGAAAAATGGAGAGATAAGAGATAAAAAATATTGGAGAAATAAGATAGAAAATCTGCAAATGGCTTCAAGGCGTGCTGCAAATGTCACTTTCCTTTAGGTTAATTTCACTCCCACCAAATCTGGTATATAAAAGGGGTAACTAGAAATACCCATAGGATATAATGAAGCGCCTTGTTGATCTTGCCTTTGCACTAGCAAGATCAACTATTGAACCATCCTTAGAAAAGTGACAAAACAATAGTTTTTGTATAGGGATTTCTACAGCAATCGAAGTGCAAAAAGGGGTTATTTTATTTAGATAATAGTAGGGGTTTGTTTCTGGGTTCAAGAGGCGAAGAAGAAGAAGAGATAACTTCATATTTATAGGGGCAAGATGTCTGTTGGGAACAAACGCTCCTTTTCAGTTCATTATCAGTTTATTAACGGATAATAACTGAGTTTTCATGAAATTTATCTATTAGAAACTCTTCCACAAGTCATTTGATTTGATTTGAACTTCAACTCACGTGTTTCCTTGCCTTCTAAAATTATCCACTCTCTTTAGAAACTTATTAGAATTTTATCTCTTATTTCTGACGTAAATGGTTTAAACCCGATAAATGTGGTTTGAATAAAAATCGTAACTTTTCAGATTTTGGTTTTACGTAAATGGTTCGAATCATATCAAAGTTACACTTTCTCAAATGCATTCTGTGCAATTGCTTCGAACCAACCTTTTGTGATTTGAACCCAAATCTTGAAAATGTTTTGAAAATTCTTCAACAAAAAATGTGAAACATCCACAATAAATTAATTAATAACATTTTGAAATATATTTAATTATATTTTAATCAATACTAAAGAGGTATCTATAATCATTGAATGAGTATATAAATATATTTAGCGAATTGAATAATATATATAAAGTTTCAATAACTGAATAAAATATTGGGTGGTACTATAGGGACAAGTTTTTTTATCTCATCTTTTTATACAATTTCCACATGTCATTAAATGAGTGGATGCATTTAATATCACGGATCCCACATGAATTAAAAGAACTAATCATTTTAATAACACATCAAATTGTATAAAAAAAAAATGAGACAAAATAATTGTCCCAATAACATTTCCCTAAAATATTAAATATCAAATCCCCATACTTATTACTATACGGATTCATTTATCTGTCCCGCTCGCCCAATTAATTAGCGCATCCTAATACAGTTCCGTACGTGCTATGGGGAAAAGAGGAATGGATTGTGCTGAGAGCTAAAACACTCGACTTAGCTCGGGGTTCTTTACTAAAGATGAATTTTACCGTTTAAGAGGTGTTTAGTTGGAAACAAACTCTTATATATATATATATATATTAAATTTTTTTATAAAATTATTTGGTTAAAACTTCATTTTGGTCCCTCAACTATTGTACGGATCCTCGATTTGGTTCCTGAACTGAAAAAATTCTTGATTTAGTCCCTATTGTTTACCATTTTAACCCCAATTTAATCCTTCTGTTAAAAATCAACTTACGTGTCCCATTACCTGATAGAAAAAGATGACAGCATGGCAAAAAAACAATGACATGGCAAAAAAAAAAAACCTTAAAATATTTCTTTTTCCTTTTTTTTTTTTCTTCCTTTGATTTTCCTTTTTTCCCTTTTATCTTCTTCTTCCTTCCTTTTGCCTTCTGCAAACAGCCATATGCAAATTTTTTCCCTCATAACCAATTTTTGCCAAATTCTCAATCAGAACAACCCACACAAACAAAATATTCATTAGCAAAATAATAAGCTACAATCCAAAAATATCCCTGAAATTCAAGCTTCTAAACATAAGTATTTAAAAAACAAAAAATGGAACCCAGCAAAGTCGCTGGGTTCTCGAGAACCCAACAAATCGTTGGGTTCGATTAATCGTACCCGACAGATCTGCTAGGTTCGATTAATCGAACCTAGCATATTGCTAGGTTCTCAACAACCCAACAGATCACTGGGTTTGATTTAATTGAACCCAACAAATCACTAGGTTCAATTAATCGAACCCGGCAGATCGTTGGGTTCTCAAGAACCCAACAGATCGCTGGGTTCTCAAGAACCCAACAGATCGCTGGTTTCTTAAGAACCCAGCAGATCTATTGGGTTTCAAAGAGGGGATGAGAGATGATGAAAGGAAAAAGATGATGAGGAGATGAGAAAAGGAGAAGATTAAAACCCAAGCCGGCAAACAAGGATCCAGGGGAAGAAGATGAACAACGAAAGAGGTTGGAGATGAAAAGTAAGGGGTAACGAAAGGAGGAAGGAAAGAAAGTGATTTGTGGTTGAAGATGAGGGTAAAAACATAATTTTATTTTTATAATTTAACCTTTAATAATTTTATCTCTATAATTTATCTCATTGTCAATCCTACGTGTCAAGATATTTAACTTGTCACCTTTTTCTCGTCAAGTAACAGTCCACGTAAGTCAATTTTTAACAGAG